TTTGTACTACGCACTTTGTAGTAACTAGCCCCTGCTAGACTACACGCTGCTTAAGGGATTGGGAGCAGATTACAGCGGTATTCTGTCGGTAATGATGAAGAGGGTCAGCACAGCATACCGTACCTAGGTGGGACTGACCACTTTGTGGACACGCGCGCAGTCGGCGGCGGCCCACAAACAATTCTGAACGATTCCAGAATGTCTACCACACAAAGGATAGATTCCCAGACAATATTTCCTGCCGAGCAAAAACTACACCAATTTTCACAATAACAAGCATGCACATCGGTTTAATCGAGAGGAGAATTTCTTCTTCTATTGTCACATGTTCCCACACCACATACTTTTCTTTTGTGGTCCCCCAGCCATAATGTCATTAAGTTACAAAAATGTAGACACTCCATGCATCCGACCCAACGGATTGCCCTCCGTCAAATACAAACGCTGATCCGTCCCAAGAAGTGCGATAAGGAGTTTAGGAAAGGGGATAAGAGAACATCAAGTAAATAGCAAGGTGGAAAAAAAGGGAGAAAGGGTAAAAAGCAGAACACCCATACACCGAACAAGAGGATCAATCAAAGCTATCGGTATGTGTACATATCATGCATGAAAACAGAAGTGTAGAGGGAGAACCTCTAGGGAATACTGAGAAAGAGATAATACAAGAATATCCCACATCAAGAGACGGGAATTTCAGTCAGGGTAGAACATTTAGGCCTTGTTCTCACCCTCGGGCTTCTGCTGCTGCTGCTCAGCCTGGGCCTTGTGCATCTTGTCGAAGAGGGTCAAGCTGGCGTTCTGGAGCTCATCGGTCTTCTGCTTGAACTCCTCAGCAGTAGCGGTGCCCTCACCGGACTGGTTCTGGGCGATGAACTCGCGGAGAGAAGCAATCTTCTCGCGGATCTGCTCGGCCTCGGCCTTGTCGAGGCGGTCCTCGAACTCCTTGAGGGCCTTCTCGGTGTCGTTCACGACGCTGTCAGCACGGTTGGCAGCCTCGATGGCGGACTTGCGCTCCTTGTCCTGAGCACCGTATTTCTCAGCATCCTCAACCATGGACTGGATCTCAGAGTCAGAGAGACCGGAGCCGGAGGCGATGGTGATGGACTGGTCCTTGCCAGTGGACTTGTCCTTGGCAGCGACGTGGACAATGGAGTCGGCGTCGATGTCGAAGGTAACCTCAATCTGGGGAACACCACGGTGGGCAGGGGGGATACCGACGAGCTGGAAGTTACCGAGGAGCTTGTTATCCTTGACAAGCTCACGCTCACCCTGGAAGACCTTGATCTCGACAGCAGTCTGGAAATCAGCGGCAGTGGAGAAAGTCTGGGACTTCTTGGTGGGGATGGTGGTGTTGCGGTTGATCAGGCGAGTGAAGACACCACCAAGGGTCTCGATACCGAGGGACAGGGGGGTGACGTCGAGGAGGAGAACGTCAGTGACCTCACCAGCGAGGACAGCACCCTGGATGGCAGCACCAATGGCAACAGCCTCGTCAGGGTTAACGGATTTGGCAGGCTCACGACCGAACATGGACTTGACGGACTCGGTGACCTTAGGCATACGGGTCATACCACCGACAAGGATGATATCCTGGATCTCGCTGGACTGGAGGTTGGCATCCTTGAGAGCCTTGCGGACGGGCTCGATGGTGCGGCTGATGAGAGGGTCAACCAGAGACTCGAGCTGGGAGCGGGTCATCTTCAAGTTAATGTGCTTGGCACCGCTGGCATCAGCAGTGATGAAAGGAAGGTTGATCTCGGTCTGGAGGGAAGAGGACAACTCGATCTTGGCCTTCTCAGCAGCCTCACGGATACGCTGAATAGCCATGCGGTCACCGGAAAGATCGAGGCCAGAGTCTTTCTTGAACTGCTGGACGATGTGACGGACAAGGGAGATATCGAAATCCTCACCACCGAGATGGGTATCACCGTTGGTGGACTTAACCTCGAAAACACCCTTCTGGATCTCCAGAACGGAGATATCGAAGGTACCACCACCGAGATCGTAGACGGCGACAACACGGTCAGCCTCCTTCTCGAGACCGTAGGCAAGGGCGGCGGCAGTAGGCTCGTTAACGACACGGAGAACGTTAAGACCAGCGATCTGACCAGCATCCTTGGTGGCCTGGCGCTGAGAGTCGTTGAAGTAGGCAGGAACAGTAACGACAGCGTTCTTGACGGGCTTGCTGAGGTAGTTCTCGGCAGTCTCCTTCATCTTGTTGAGGACGAAACCACCAATCTGAGAAGGGGAGTACTTCTGGTCACGAGCCTGAACCCAGGCGTCACCGTTGGTGTGCTGGACGATCTTGTAGGGAACCTCCTTGATATCACGCTGGACCTCAGCATCGGTGAACTTGCGGCCGATGAGACGCTTAGTGGCGAAGAGAGTGTTCTCGGGGTTGACGACGGCCTGACGCTTGGCGGCAATACCGACCAAGCGCTCACCATCCTGGGCGAAAGCGACAACGGAAGGAGTAGTTCTGGCACCTTTGAAATGAGTCAGACGCGAGTTACTTCGGGTTGTGTTGCGTTCCAACTCTAGTGGCGGCGACTTTGAGAGAAAATTCTTCACATACCTTCGGCGTTCTCAATGATCTTGGGGGTCTTGCCCTCCATGACAGCAACAGCGGAGTTGGTGGTACCTATTCAAGCACGTAAGCTTCGAGCCTCAATTACAAGAGTATTCATTATTCTCGACATACCCAAGTCAATACCGATGACCTGACCCTTCACCTTCTCCTCACCTCCCTCCGTGGAGTTCCATCTCCGGATAGAAGCACCGGGAACTCTGAAGGCAGGGGCACGAGTGAAAGCAGTGCGCGGGAGCTGCGGATAATGAACATTGTTAGTTTTGCTATTGCGCATACTATATCCAACGTGATGGGAATCGAAACCTACCGCGCGAGAGATGCGAGAGGACAGCATTGTGAATGTGATTAAAAGAAAGAGATAATACAGGTATTAAGGGAAAGAGAAGTATAGAAGCACTCCGGTCGATTCAATCGAGAGGAGAGGAGGATGAATAGAGGTATAAGGGTATAGGTAGGATGAGGTGAGAAGGGAGAGGTAGGATGAAGGAGACAAGTTTTTTGCACTGATTCCGGGGAGGAAGAAAGTAAAAGAAGGGAGACGGCAGGCGTCGTAAAAATCGTCCCGGAGAGCTTCGGCCCGTCGTCGAACTTGGTAGAATCACACCAACGCAGCTAATGGACCAATGACATTTCAGATCTGCTTCTGACCGCTCTGGAGCGTAGCCGGACCTGTGAGTCGAGTTCGAGAAGCTACGAGTAAAGGAACGATCGATAGTAGTCGTTAGTGGCGAATATTTGCCTCTCCAGCCCTCAATAGATACTTATGTACAATACATGCTATGCCTGTGTAGACTATTGACTACGCATTTACCTTTTCTACCAAGCTCAGTGTCGCAGAACAAAATTCACGAACTTGAGGTGCAAGTACCGCCGGCCGGCAGTACCCGTTCTCCAAGTCAGAAAGCTCCGATGAGCGGCCGCCACTAAATCAGCCTCTGCATGGTAACGATATCTAAATATCCATCAGTAAGGCACTCCTCGCCATTTGCACAAGCCTGGTAAGTATGATTATTTTAATTGAGGGTGCGCTGCTCTTTTCTTGAGACCCAGTATGATACCCCCTTTTTTGACGATAATCGATCGTTGGCTATCTTTCGAGAAGACGGCATACTGGCACTGACTACAAGTATATTTTGAAAAGCATGCATGGCAAAATCAATGAGTCAGAGTACGACTGCTCTAACGAAATCACATTGAGTTAGGTTATCACGGAGACAATGTTTTTTTCAGAAGGTTCTCTACCCACTATCTTCACAAGAATATTTGACTGTCTATCTCTTCTATTGTAAATCAGCTGGTATATCCCTTGTGAAATTTCATTTACTATGAGTAGACCCTTTCTAGACTGATTTTCACCCGAGACGAGTTTGTTGTAGTGCATTTTCCTGTCCATTGTGCTGCACTGTACAGTGCAGTATATACTGAAATTGCAGCCCAGAAAACCAAGGTCATTATGTGATGCCACACCTGGAACAATAATTTTCAGGCTCCTTCAGAACAGTAAGGTCGCTTGCAGTTCAAGTGTTTGGAAAAAAGCTTCCCGAAACTGATGGTCTTACCTCGAGTGTTCAACAGCTAGAATCCATATTTTACCGGTTTGAATAATCCATCGGCACCATACCAGGGCCAATGTCGAAGTAAAATTCGGATACAAGTCCGTTGGTTGATGGGCAGCCTATCGATTGCAGACTCAATCCAAAAAGAATATGCATGGGAGCCGAGATTTATACCTGAGGTGCTTTTCAGACAGGAAGATCAGCGAGAGGTAAGGCTCTGAAATTAAGATGCAGGCTGCCGCGTGCATAAGGCTTAATTGAGAAAACTAACTAAGTTGTGTGGTGAGACTGCTCCGACACGGCGACAATGCTGGGTGTCGTATCTTTAGACGAGCTGATCGATCCAACCCCGGGTGCGTCCAGCCCTGGAGGCGGGTTCGAGGCTTCAATCGAGCAAGACTCGACCGCATTCGCCGCTGAAGTTCCCCGGATTGGGAGCGGATAAGTCTTACGTCATCCGTCCGCACCCGCCATCACCCTCCGATTTCGTTTCCAGGCGAGGTGAACCGCCGCAGGTGAATGAGTGTTGAGTGTGGTAGGTGAAGGTAGTCGTGGTGGTGATTCTCCCCCCCCCCCTCTCTTAACTCAGATCAGCTCCAGCTCCAGCTCCAGCTCCAGCTCCAGATCCTAATGTTCTGGGCTCAATATCCACTCTACATCGCACTACCAACACTAGTCTTGGTTCCCAACCTTTCTCAGATCTACCAACCGTTCTTTTTCCGCCGCTACTCTCACCACACCTTCCGCATCTTCCCTCTCTGCGTTGTCCGCCATTGCCGCAATAGCGGTGTTCCTCCTCCAAGTGTAGCTGGACTTCCGACCATGCCACCTTAAGGACCGGCTTTATCTTCACCATGACAACGGATTCGCTTTCGTAAGTTGATTCTCACTCTATCCTTTCCTCAAAGTACCAACGCACGGGTGACTAACACTTTACCGCATGGGTAGGTTTCATCCAACCGAGTCTCTAGTCCTCTCAACCAAGCGCCGCTTTTTCCCGCTCAAGATTCCAAATTTGTTTGTGCTTCGAGCTCAAATCAATAGAGCTGAATTAAGCTGATGGCCGTATAGCCACCAACAACTTCGCAACTATATAAGCACCGCCGATCCGGATCGGATTTACGTCGTCGCCCATAAGTTCGTTTACGCCATTCATATCTCAACACAAAAGCGGGAAACAATCGGTGTAATCCCTTTTGATCCAAAATGTATGGCTGCAGGTCACGGCTGGGTTGCAGTTGGGGGATCGGACAACGGCGAATGTGCCTTCATCAGGCTACCTGATTACAGCGCATGTACCCAGGGCAGTACCCCGGCTGGCCAGCCTGGCGATGTAGATAGTGCTCTTCCGATTGGGTTTGAAACCTCAACAGGGATCTCATCGCCTAGGAATAATGGTGATGAGATGAGGCCAGCTCGGGACACTAGCGGGAGGCAAGTGCCGGAAATGCAGCTGCATACATTTGGAGGCAGCATCGTGAACTCGGTCACCATTCATCGACTTCCTGGTGGTGAAAAGGATCTATCACATGAAGATGTGGCAATTCTCAGGTATCATCGAACCCGACAGTTGCTCTCCCACTGATGTGCTGATGATTTGACAGTAACAACGATAAAACTGTCACAGTGTACGCCCTGGCCAGGTCGAAGGTTCTGAAAGTTCTCCATCATCCGGCTTGTATGAATTATGCGATTATATCCCCAGACTCGAGTCTCCTCGCTGCCGTTGGCGATGAAACTCGCGCATATTTCTATGAGATTAGCCGCGACCTTGAATCGATTGTCACAACAGAAACTGGCGACAAGCTTTGTGGATGGAACTGGGACCCTATCCGCTGCATAGAGATGGACATTGGCACGCGGTTTGATGACGGCTGCTGTTTCACTATCGCATTCTCCCAGTTCAGCCGGTTATGTGCAATCGGTTCCCAGTCTGGGGTCATTACCATCTTTGATGTGAGAACAATTCGAGATATCACGCATGAGCCCCACGGCGAAAACACGATCATCTGCCATTTCAATTCATCTACATCATGCTGCAACGGTGGCGCTGTGCGCTGCATTGCATTTGCGCCAGAGCCCTGGGATCTTCTAGTCTGGCTTGAAGATAAGGGTCGGGCTGGTATAGCAGATGTACGCCAGGCGTTCGTTCGTCGTCAGATTATTCAACTAGACATGAATGAACCCGGGACCGAGGAGGTTTTTACAGAACCAATCATCGAGGATTCTGATTCTGAACTTGAGCTTGATGGAACGCAACGCGAGATGTTAGATTCAGTCGAGGGGTTTCCAAACGACCAAGGAGGAGAAGGTCTCGAAAACCCGTTACTGAGTGAGACCTTTTTGCAGAACCTCACAGAAAGAGAAAGGCTGATCGTAGAACATCTAAACACAGCGCGATGGACGTCCAGGCCTGGTGATGGACGGACAGAACGACGAGCTAGAGCTTATCCTCACCCGCCCACTGGGCCTCGTCAACAAGTTCAAGGTTCCACAGATGGTGCCAATCGAGCCTCTCGTCCTACGTCACCTCTGCGCCCCGGCGAAACGCTTGGCGATTTGTTGCGAGAGGAATACTCTGCGCGAGCAGAGGCACACGAGCGCAGGCAAAGTGCAAGACGTTCTACCACGAGTATACCAACGTATAATCAAACTGAGACCAGTAATCGTTCATTAGAGACGGGTCCGTCGAATATTGATCCGCAGCCCAGCATTACACTCAGCTGGACTGCGTCCCCGTCAGAGCTGTACTCTGCCATTTCGGGAGACCCCTCACATATCGCAGAACCGAGCTCGCGCGATCCTGATAGTTCTGGTAGCGATATCGGTTCTGTCAATCGGCCTGGTGGGACGTTAACCCGCCCATCCGCACATTTTGACTATTCATCCACTGCAGAATTATTATCCCGATACCGAGCCCATGACCATCCTAGCTCAAGCCGTAGCCGACCTGAGAGGCAGGACGGCGTAGCTGAAGCTCGTCATGATTCATCACGTCTCTCAACGACCGACTTCAGAGCAAGTGTTGCTGCAGAGCGGCTTCGACGGCAGCGACACAACTTGAATGAAGCACGCAATCGAAGCAATCAACAAGACAGGCGGTACCTTGACCAGCTGGTGGCATCTGAACAAAATCGCCATCCCCGTTGGGTTCGTAATGTTTTGAATGGGCTTCCGGATCGAAGCACGGGGCTCAGACATCGAGACCAAGAATCCGGCGGTACGGCCGGCATTGGCTGGGGTGCAGATGGCCGAACATTGTAGGTGCTATGATTGATGTAAAATGTGACTCGGCTAACTCGGGCAGGTACATTGCAACCGTGGATGGCATTTTCGAGTTTCTGGTCAACATGACCGATCGGAAGACGTTTCCCGTTATCAATTACAGGTGAACGAGGGTGTGTCTTTCCAAGCCGCCATTGGGCTATCGGCTTCAACATCGTATCCTACCGCAAATAGGTCGTGGGGAGTAACACAACTGTGCTGAGACTCATGCTATTCAAGGTGCACTTTTGCCCCTGACTTCTTTGACTTCTGAGCCTTCCAATAATACTTTGTGACATTTCTAATGATGAGAAACAGAATGGCTTAGGAACATCTTTGACAGCAGGGTTCAAGACTGGCAGCCATGTATTGCTTTTCCCTTCTCTTACTTTCAATGCCTCCTTTACCTCGGCTGTGCTTCCATGCGCTTCAGCTGCGTCCTGGTCTCAGGAACATCAAGTCTGTATTCTTCAGCTCACGTATTGCCTTGCATCTGTTTTGGTGGTGCTCTGGATACCATTTATGGCAAGTTTCTATGTATAAAGGATGATGATAAGTCTGCATTTGGAAAGGAATTGACGCTGTATGCTGTATGCAAAATCTTATCCAGGTTGATGCCCCGCTCGTAGTTTAGAACAGATGGGAGGGGTGAGCATAATAGAAACGTGACTCGTGAGATGCTTGATTCCTAGCCTAAGCAGACTACTATGAGAAAGCATGGGTTCCAAGTCCAATAAAACTATGGACCCTTCCTCTGTCTGTGTAGATCGGACAAGAGTTTCAATGGGGAAGTTCAGCAGTGAGGAGTGTTAAGTTAGTGGGCGGAAGGTGGAAAGGCTTGAAGGGCCCAGTCCAGTCAGTCCCCACACGACGTCAGACCCGAACGGAGCTGGCCTGGGTTGGGTTTGTCCAAACTCCAAACTTCCGTCCATTCAATTTCCTGCCGTCGCCGCCGCCCAAACACCCGCCAGCGAATAATGAATGATTTCATTAATAGCCTTCATCTCGAATCACAATCCACGTGCTCTGCTTCCACTCCTGTGAATGCTCGCTTGACTGGCTGGCATTTTCTAGACCGCACGACTCAATAATTTGTGTTTTGTTGCTTCACCCATTGGCCTCTTCGCATACACAGCGCCCCCACAGACACTCTTCGGCGCCTGGTGTCCAGTTCGGTGCCGGAGCAGGTTTGACCTAAACTTCTCATTCTTGCTATACTTATCATGGCCGCAGCTGCAAGCCTGTCTGATGCTCTGGCTCAAATGAGTCTGAGCTCAAAAGAGCTAAGCGGATCGGCTTTCGATGCCCGCGTAGCCGACGAAGAAAATGGCATCTACAGAGAGGCCAAACCGCGACAGAGGAATCATCAAAACGCCGCTGATCTTAAGGAAGAACTGGAACAAGAGTTCCTAAACCCATCGGCCCGTTTTGGCTCGGAATGGCTGAATCGCCTTCAAAGGTCCGCCCGATCATTCTGTTCATCCATCTACACCTCCCATTTTCCTTAGCTTTACCCAGGAGATGTACCAAACCTGGATATATCCCCGAACTCCCTTTAGCTTATGTGTTGCTTTAAATAGCTGGTATTGGCACTAACGGTATGCAGGAGGTGGGATGTGTCCACGGACTATGGAGATTTGTTTGACATTGCGGGAACTCAATCACGAACCGTCGTTCGATTCGATCGTGATGGTCTCGAAGGCCGTGTTACTGGCTACCATGAGGTTACTATCCCTGCTACCAGTGCGAATGCAAAGAACTCGACATCCCTCCTTCGTCGACCCGCTGGCCGTGCGGATTTCGTCAGAGGCGCAGCAGGATTCTTTCCATTTGCTCCAGGCGGGCTCGAAGGCGTCGAGGCGATTGCTGAGATGGATTTGGATCCTCAAGTTGCAGAGTATTCCAGATCCAGTGGCAAGCAATCCGGACTGGACCGAATCATCAGCTTTGGTACCGAGGGCGGTCTTTTAGAAGTTGCCCCTGGGTTTTCTCGTGGACTGAAATTTGATGAAGCAAAGTCCAAAGAAGCTGCCCAAGGAGATGAAGAGGTGGAGCATGCTTTGCAGCAAGAAGAAGCTGAGCTTCGCGTCGAACAGGATGAAACGGCTTCGGATGCTGGGGGTGTCAAAATCGACGATGAAGCTGAGCTCAGTGATGAGGAGGATATTGACTCATTGCTGCCAGTCGAATTCCCGGCATTGGAACCCCACGCTCCACTTCTTGCAGGTGTACAACAAAGAAAGAGCGGCAGGGAATGGGCTCACATCGTTGATGTCAACAAAGATATTCCGAACTTCCGCGAGCTCGTGCCAGATATGGCCCGTGAATGGCCTTTCGAACTAGACACCTTCCAGAAAGAGGCCGTCTACCATCTGGAGAACGGTGACTCTGTTTTTGTTGCTGCTCACACCTCGGCTGGTAAGACAGTCGTGGCCGAATATGCTATTGCCTTGGCCTCTAAGCACATGACGAAAGCAATCTACACTTCACCCATCAAAGCTCTGAGTAATCAGAAATTCCGAGATTTTAGGACTACCTTCGATGATGTAGGTATCCTGACGGGTGATGTCCAGATAAATCCCGAAGCAAGCTGCCTCATCATGACCACCGAGATTCTACGGAGTATGCTCTACCGCGGAGCGGATCTTATCAGGGACGTGGAATTCGTGATCTTTGACGAAGTCCATTATGTCAATGACCTTGAGAGAGGTGTTGTCTGGGAAGAAGTCATCATCATGCTCCCGGAGCACGTTACCTTGATCTTGCTGTCTGCTACCGTTCCCAACACTTACGAATTTGCATCCTGGGTCGGTCGCACGAAGAAGAAAGACATTTACGTCATTTCCACCCCTAAGAGACCAGTTCCTCTCGAACACTACCTCTGGGCTGGTAAAGGAATGTATAAAGTTGTCGATTCCAACAAGCGTTTCCTTGAAAATGGTTGGAAGGAAGCAGATGAAATTATTTCTGGCAGGGATAAGATCAAAGCCCAGAAGGCAGCTGAGGCTCAAGCCCAGTCACAGGCAAGCCGTGGCGCGCCGCAGGGCAGAGGACGCGGACAAGCTCCTGGCAGAGGTGGCGCCCGAGGCAACTCGCAGCGCGGAGGCGCCCCTCGTGGTAGAGGACAACCAGCCAACAGGGGAACCGGAAACATTGCCCGCACAGGACGTGGTGGTGGAAGGACTACAGCTGCGCAGGACAAAACTATCTGGGTGCAACTCGTTCAGCATCTTCGGAAGGAGAATCTGCTCCCTGGTTGCATTTTCGTCTTCTCGAAGAAGCGATGTGAACAGAATGCTGATTCGCTATCCAATCAAGACTTTACGACCGCTGCTGAAAAGAGCTTGATTCACATGTTCATCGAAAAATCTCTTACCAGACTCAAACCAGAAGACCGGACCCTACCACAGATTCTCAGACTTCGAGACTTGCTCAGCCGGGGTATTGCCGTACATCACGGCGGTCTCCTACCCATCATGAAGGAAATAGTTGAGATTCTGTTTGCCAAGTCACTGGTCAAAGTACTATTTGCCACGGAGACATTTGCTATGGGCTTGAATTTACCTACTCGTACAGTGGTCTTTTCCGGCTTCCGCAAGCATGATGGTAAAGGTTTCCGGGATCTGCTCCCCGGAGAGTACACTCAAATGGCCGGACGTGCTGGTAGAAGAGGTCTTGACACAGTCGGCTATGTGATCATCGTGAACCCTGGAAGAGATGAAGCACCGCCAGCTGGAGCCCTGAGACGAATGATCTTGGGCGATCCGACTAAACTACGATCTCAATTCAGGCTCACCTACAACATGATACTGAATCTTTTGCGTGTAGAAGCTCTGAAGATCGAAGAGATGATCAAGCGAAGTTTCAGTGAGAATGCCACCCAGGCCCTTCTTCCGGAGCATGAGAAGCAGGTGCAACTCTCCGAGGCCAGCTTAGCGAAGATCAAACGCGAACCTTGTGACATCTGTGATATCGACCTCGCGGCCTGTCATGACGCAGCCATCGAGTATGAGAAGCTGACTAGCGAACTTCACGTGGGATTGCTTTCCTCGCCTGTTGGCAAGCGCCTGTTTATGCCGAAGAGGCTGATTGTGTACAGAAAGGCAAGTGTTGAGACTCATTCCCAAATCGTAACGGGACTAACCGATTTTAAAGGACGGATTCCGTACGGCTGGTATTATTGTTCGGGAGGGCATTGGAGGCGGCGCTACGCCCACCATACAGGTTCTGGAGATCGGAAGAATTGGCAGCAGGCGTCATCCCAGCGACATTCTTCCATTCCTTCCAGAGTTCCGGCATCGGTTCCAGCCTTTACCCACCCGTGCCGCAGACATGACCCTGAAGACCTCTAAGGTACCATTGACGGATCTTGAATGTATTACAAACACAATGATCAAATTGGGTGGCCCGATATGGTACCTGAACATCAAGAAAGGTTCGCGTTCTTGATCTATTTTCACAAAATCAGACTAACAAGGCAACCTACCAGAGGCAATGAAATTCGCGGACAAGGAGCTTGTGAAGTTCTGTGCTTCGTGGACACAACCAGCCTGGGATGAAATGGACTGGACCAGAATTAAGGAGCTACAGGTCAGGGACATATTAGAAAAGCGACAGCAACAAGCCGCAATCGCCCAGTCATGCCGATGTTTGCAGTGTCCGAACTTCTTGAAACATGTAAGGGCTTCCTCTAGCTCATAATGTACAGCGATATACTGACACTCAACAGTTCGAAATGCAACACGATGAGTGGCAGGTTAAGGAGAATATCTCGCAGCTGAAACAGCTCATGTCTGACCAGAACCTCGCGCTGCTCCCTGATTACGAGCAACGCATCCAGGTTCTGAAGGATCTAGGCTTCGTAGATGAGCAAGCGCGTGTGCAGCTCAAAGGCAAGGTGGCATGTGAGGTAGGTTGCCCAAGACATTCATGGCCATCGTTCGGGTGTAGTGCTAACAAGAACCTAAGATCCACTCATCGGATGAGCTGGTCTTGACAGAGCTGATTCTTGAGAATGTCCTGGCGGAGTACGAACCCGAAGAAATCGTCGCGCTACTGTCTGCTTTCGTCTTCCAGGAAAAGACCGAGAATGTCCCCACATTGACACCGCGTCTTGAGAAAGGGAAGG